ATGGGAGAAGGTGATCCTGTAGATAACCTGGACCCAAACCATGTAGGGTTTTAAAGGTGAAAACCAACACCTAGTACTTTGTCCAGAAACTAATTGGCAGCCAGTGGAGAGACTTTAGGATAAATGTAATACGCTCACTCCTAGATATTCCTGTAACCAGTCCGGTTGCTGTATTTTGAACTAGCTGGAGTTTCCTAACTTGGTACAAGGGTAGCCCAGTGAGAGTATGTTGCAGAAGTCCAATCTCGAGGTTACTAGTGCGTGCACTACCATCTTCAGGTTCTCCTAATCGAGGATGGGACGTAGCTGGCATATCATCCAAAGTTTATAGTAAGCATACCTGGGCTGACATTTGGAGAGATGGATCCAGAAACACTCCCAAGCTGTGAACACAGTCTTTCAGGGAGAGTGTAACCCCATCCAGAAATGATTGACACACCTCTATCCTCAGAAGAGGACCCTTGACGGCAAGCGCCTCTGTTTTGTCAGGATTCAGTTTCAATTTATTTTTCCTAATCTAGCTCATTGCCTCCTTCAGTCATTCATTCAGAGGAGACATGCTATCCTTAGCTGAAGCTGTTTTTGAAGACATGGAGAAATATATTTTGGTGTCATCACTATACTGATAACACCCTGCCCCCATGCCTTGTTTCCTCTGAATTTAGCTGAAATCGCTCCACTAGCTAGATGGGAAATGGATTGTTTCAGCATTGTTATGAGCAATGCTCTTGTAATCCAGTGTATTTTCATGTTACTTAGATTTGAGCAGTCATTGAATCAGAGTTGCAGAAGGGGCTTCATGGGCCATCATGTCCAACCCCCTGGTCAAAGCAAGATCGCTGGCAGACCTTTGTTTTTGAAGACCTTCAGGCTCCATTTACACTGCCATTGAACTGCATTATATGACAGTGTAGCCTCATATAATCCAGTTCAATGCAGTTAAAGTGCATTCTGAAACTGCATTATTTGGCAGTGTAGATTCAGCCTCAAGCTAACCTCAAGATAAGGAGACGAAAGTTAGTGAGATCCTTGGACTTCATGCCTGCTGCAGACAGATTTTATATTAGGCACCAATTTAGTCACTTCAGTCTCAAGTTTAGTGATATCCAGGTGATTTTTTTTCTTCGGTAGCAATCATTTACAGTACTAATGGCACTTTCAATTAAACATGAAGATGAGAAAGGTAACAACAGTTTTCTTGCAAAGTTGGTTGGTTTTTACTATTTTGTATTTTTCATACAGAAATATTGACTTGCCTAGGAATTGTACTTCGGAATCTTTCACAGATTTCTTGCTACATTCATTTGCAGAACAAATATATATTTCCATATTTTGCATAGCTTGTAATGCTAAAAGAACATTGAGAGGAGTGGGATGTTTGAAAGGGAAGTGGCCTCCCTTTTCTGAGCTCATGTACTCTCGACTTCACACTATGCTTTCACCACTTCTTCCTCTCCATTAGCAGGCTTTCCCCCTCTTCAGTGTCACCAGCTGACCTCTCTGTACATTCTGATTTAATTTTTAAAATGTGTATTGTCACAATATAGTTTAATATACTGTATATGAGGCTTATAGAACAACAAGAAAGGCAAAAAAATGTACTAATTCTCAAATTGGCCCCCTTAAAAATCAGATTGTGAGGAATGTGGCCCAAGTTGGGAACCAGGGGTTTAAATACTG